GGAGTAATATAAATATCAACAACGGACTAACTTCCAGAATGACAAGGCTACCATCCATTGTAATAAAAAAATTACGATAATAGAGTACCTTCCATAATGACAAGGCTACCATCCATTGGAATAACAAAATCTCGACAACAGACTACCTTCTATAATGACAAGGTTACCATCAATTAGAATAACAAAAATCTCGACATCAGACTACTTTCCATAATGACAAGGCTACCATCCATTGGACTAACAAATATCTCGATGACAAACTACCTTCCATAATGTCAAGGCTACCATCCATTGGAGTAAAAAAAATATCGACAACAAACTACCTTCCATAATGACAAGGCTACCACCCATTGGAGTAAAAAAGATATCTATATTATACTACCTTCCATAATGATAAGGCTACCATCCATCGGAGTAATTAAAATATCGACAACAGACTACCTTCTATAATGACAAGGCTACCATTCATTGGAGTAACAAAAATCTAAACAAAAGACTACCTTCCATAATGACAAGGCTACCATCCATTGGAGTAACATAAATCATAACGACAGACTACCTTCCATAATGACAAGACTACCATCCATTGGAGTAACAAAAATATCGACAACAGACTACCTTCCATAATGACAAGGCTACCATCCATTGGAGTAATAAAAATCTCGACAATAGACTACCTTCCATAATGACAAGGCTACCATTCATTGGAGTAACAAAAATATCGAAAACATAGTACCTTCCATAATGACAAGGCTACCATCCATTGGATTAACAAAAATCTTTACAATAGAGTACCTTCTATAATGATAAGGATACAATCCATCAGAGTAACAAAAATATTGACAACAGACAATGTCCCATAATGACAAGGCTACCATCCATTCGAGTAAGAAAAATATCGAAAACAGACTACCTTCCATAATGACAAGGCTACCATCCATTGGAGTAACAAAAATCTCGACAACAGACTACCTTCCAAAATGACAAGGGTACCATACACTGGAATAACAAAAATACTGACATTAGACTACCTTCCATAATGAAAAGGTTACCATCCAATGGAATAACAAAAATCTCGACAACATATTACCTTCCATAATGACAAGGCTACCATCCATTGGAGTAAAAAAAATCTCGACAACAGACTAGCTTCCATAATGACAATGTTACCATCTATTGGAGTAATAAAAATATCAACAACAGACTAACTTCTAGAATGACAAGGCTACCATCCATTGTAATAAAAAAATCACGATAATAGACTACATTCCATAATGACAAGGCTACCATCCATTGGAATAATAAAATCTCGACAACAGACTACCTTCCATAATGACAAGGTTACCATCAATTAGAATAACAAAAATCTCGACATCAGACTACTTTCCATAATGACAAGTCTACCATCCATTGGACTAACAAATATCTCAATGACAAACTACCTTCCATAATGTCAAGGCTACCATCCATTGGAGTAAAAAAAATATCGACAACAAACTACCTTCCATAATGACAAGGCTACCACCCATTGGAGTAAAAAAGATATCTATATTATACTACCTTCCATAATGATAAGGCTACCATCCATCGGAGTAACAAAAATATCGACAACAGACTACCTTTTGTAATGACAAGGCTACCATTCATTGGAGTAACAAAAATCTAAACAAAAGACTACCTTCCATAATGACAAGGCTACCATCCGTTGGAGTAACATAAATCATAACGACAGACTACCTTCCATAATGACAAGACTACCATCCATTGGAGTAACAAAAATCTCGACAATAGACTACCTTCCATAATGACAAGGCTACCATCCATTGGAGTAATTAAAATCTCGACAACAGACTACCTTCCATAATGACAATGCTACCATTCGTTGGAGTAACAAAAATATCGAAAACAGAGTACCTTCCATAATGACAAGGCTAACATCCATTGGATTAACAAAAATCTCTACAATAGAGTACCTTCCATAATTACAATGATACAATCCATTGGAATAAAAAAATCGCGACAACAGACTACCTTCCATAATGACAAGGTTACCATCCATTAGAATAACAAAAATCTCGACATCCGACTACTTTCCATAATGACAAGGCTACCATCCAACAAAATAACAAAGTTCTCGACAACAGACTACCTTCCATAATGTCAAGGCTACCATCCATTCGAGTAAAAAAAATATCGACAACAAACTACCTTCCATAATGACAAGGCTACCACCCATTGGAGTAAAAAAGATATCTATATTATAATACCTTCCATAATGATAAGTCTACCATCCATTGGAGTAACAAAAATTTCGACAATAGACTACCTTCTATAATGACAAGGCTACCATTAATTGGAGTAACAAAAATCTGAACAAAAGACTACCTTCCATAATGACAAGGCTACCATCCATTGGAGTAACAGAAATCATAACGGTAGACTACTTTCCATAATGACAAGACTACCATCCATTGGAGTAACAAAAATCTCGACAACAGACTACCTTCCATAATGACAAGGCTACCATCGATTGGAGTAACAAAAATCTCGACAATAGACTACCTTCCTTAATGACAAGGCTACCATCTGTTGGAGTAACAAAAATATCGAAAACAGAGTACCTTCCATAATGACAAGGCTACCATCCATTGGAGTAAAAAAAAATTTCGACAACAAACTAGCTTCCATAATGACAATGTTACCATCTATTGGAGTAATATAAATATAAACAACAGACTAACTTCCAGAATGAGAAGGCTACCATCCATTGTAATAAAAAAATCACGATAATAGAGTACCTTCCATAATGACAAGGCTACCATCCATTGGAATAACAAAATCTCGAAAACAGACTACCTTCTATAATGACAAGGTTACCATCAATTAGAATAACAAAAATCTCGACATCAGACTACTTTCCATAATGACAAGGCTACCATCCATTGGACTAACAAATATCTCAATGACAAACTACCTTCCATAATGTCAAGGCTACCATCCATTGGAGTAAAAAAAATATCGACAACAAACTACCTTCCATAATGACAAGGCTACCACCCATTGGAGTAAAAAAGATATCTATATTATACTACCTTCCATAATGATAAGGCTACCATCCATCGGAGTAATTAAAATATCGACAACAGACTACCTTCTATAATGACAAGGCTACCATTCATTGGAGTAACAAAAATCTAAACAAAAGACTACCTTCCATAATGACAAGGCTACCATCCATTGGAGTAACATAAATCATAACGACAGACTACCTTCCATAATGACAAGAGTACCATCCATTGGAGTAACAAAAATATCGACAACAGACTACCTTCCATAATGACAAGGCTACCATCCATTGGAGTAATAAAAATCTCGACAATAGACTACCTTCCATAATGACAAGGCTACCATTCATTGGAGTAACAAAAATATCGAAAACATAGTACCTTCCATAATGACAAGGCTACCATCCATTGGATTAACAAAAATCTTTACAATAGAGTACCTTCCATAATGACAAGGATACAATCCATCAGAGTAACAAAAATATTGACAACAGACAATGTCCCATAATGACAAGGCTACCATCCATTCGAGTAAGAAAAATATCGAAAACAGACTACCTTCAATAATGACAAGGCTACCATCCATTGGAGTAACAAAAATCTCGTCAACAGACTACCTTCCAAAATGACAAGGGTACCATACACTGGAATAACAAAAATACTGACATTAGACTACCTTCCATAATGAAAAGGTTACCATCCAATGGAATAACAAAAATCTCGACAACATATTACCTTCCATAATGACAAGGCTACCATCCATTGGATTAACAAAAATCTGAACAACAGACTAGCTTCTATAATGACAAGGCTACCATACATTGGAGTAACATATATCTAAACAAAAAACTACCTTCCATAATGACAAGGCTACCATCCATTGGAGTAACAAAAATATCGATAACAGACTACCTTCCATTATGAAAAGGATACCATCCATTGGAGTAACAAAAATCTCGACAACAAACTTGCTTCCATAATGACAAGGCTACCACACATTGGAGTAACAAATATCTCAACGACAAACTACCTTCCATAATTACACTAGTGCATAAATGACTTTTTACATCGGGTGAAACTGACTTTTTACATCGGTTTTGGGTCCAATGTAAAGTCAGGTGATATAGTAAATCAAGTACTTTTTACATCGGTTCTGGGTCGGATGTAAAAAGTCCCTTTTTTACATCGGTTATAATATAAGAATGATGTAAGAAACAATTATGACAATATTTTAAAAAAATTAATCCAATTTTTTCATCGGTTGGAAGTAATAACTGATGTAAAAAGTCACTTTTTTACATTGGTTATAATATAAGAATGATGTAAGAAACTGTTATGACATTATTTTAAAAAAATTAATCCAATTTTTACATCGGTTGGAAGTAATAACCGATGTAAAAAGTCCCTAGTGACGCAATTATTTACATCGGAAGTGTTATGGTACTTCATCTCCATACGGACCCTCAATGAAAGTTGTTACCACAATATTAGGCTTAACAGATAAATCCTCTGGTGCATCAACATTAGTGATTCTTTCTCTTAATCTCCCAGTAAATTTTCCTAGAACCTTTATGAGAACGGCAATGTGATTATTTCCATCCAAAGGGCTAGAAGAAACACTGAATGGATGCCACTGCAGCCACGATAGTTCCCGAACTTGAAGGAAAATGAAGCTTAGTGAATTGTATCTCAAATCTACAATTTTCAAAAGATATATTGTCACTGATATGGAAATAATGGTACACAAATTTTATCATAAAAAATGCTATGAGAAGTATAATTACTTTGAGGTTTTGATAGAACCATTTCCACAGTACCGCACGACAGGCACCTCGACGAGATAACATTAACTGTCCTTCTTGACTGGCAGAACCTCAGGAATTGGTCGAGCACAAATAGAAGTTTCTCTTGGTTCTGCATAGCTTTTCTGGATTCCTAGGCAATTGCAATTTCGTCTTTAGCATCATCTGTTTCAGCTGCTGCCAAAGCTTCACGCTCCTCTTCTTCCACTGCAGCCTGAACTCGCTCAAGAAACCTGTCATCCTCCTCTGGGAGAAAATGGCCTGCATGATTTATGAATAACCATAATCACTTCAATCCAGAATAAAATTAAATTTTCATTAATGAATATTATAAGCTTCTGCATACTCAAATTGTAAACAAACTAAGGTTTAATAAGATATTTCTTGTGAAGATATTGAAAACATATTGTAAGCATTTATAAACTTTTGCATACCATAATCACTTCAATTCATAATAACAATAAAATTTGGTAAAGATATTTACTATTTATAGGATGATTAGTTATTCAGCCATAATGAGAAAATGCCAAATAACAGAGCTTGAACTCAAATATGCACATCCAAAAATTTGATCAACCAATGCAGAAGGATTGTGAATTTAAATTAACAAAATAATAAATGAAGTTCAAAAGATATATGTGCTAACATGGGAAGAGAAAACAAAACCAAGCATATCAGTAAAAAATTGGCTAAATAACATGCTATATAATCAAAATACAACTAACTAGAATCATAGTGATTTTCTTATATTAATACCTTGTTTTTTTAACTTTTGTATCCTTATGGAGCGTAATTCTTGAAGTTTCTCCACCACCAAGAGCAGCTCCAGCTGTGATATAACACGATGCAAGAGAATAAGACATACCCAAGATGATAAAATATAAATTTTCATGACTGACATCGACTAAATAAATGTATATCTAAAGAAGAAAGGTGTGCTTAACAACCTGCATGATATAGGTAGTTAACGAAGACGTGATAAATCCTTAATGTAGATAAAACAGAATGTATGATTGAGTTCTTCGAAGTTAATGGAAACCATAAAATAGAACTGATTACATGCTTAATAGTCATTTGTACAAAAATTTACCTGAGACTCTAGTTTCTTCTTCTCTTCTTTGACTTTAAGCTTTGCAATTTCTTTCATCTTTTTGACCTGCATATAGACATGTTTCCAACATTAAAAAGACTTGTTACGCAAACTGATTTAACTGCTAAATGGATAACATATCTGTAAACAGAACCCTGAACACAACAAATAAGTACTGCCCTTCCCCCTTTTTTTCTATAGACAGAATAGATAGAACAATGAAGAAAAGTTAGAAATAAATACGAAAATGGGCAAAACAAATAATTTGAAGTAATATGTAGAGATGTATTTTTGTAACTATAGTAAACTAAAAGCCTTACATTCAGCTCCACCCTTTATCACGAATCGTATACGCATATAAAATAGTATTAATAATAATAAATGAGAAGCTTAGCATAATTGTCTTGAGGACAAATCACGGAAAATGTCAGAGATAGTAGTTTTATATCAGATTTTGAAAACTTTGGTTGAGTTAAAATTGAGCATGATGTTGAGAAGAACATAATACCTATGCCTAAAACAAATATCAATTCCAGTCAATATGAACGTTCGCATAGATTGAAAATACTTTAATACCTTGTTATCTTCAGTTTCCTTGGCAATCTCCATAGCCCTCCATTCATCAGCTTCCTGGTCAATTTGGGCGAACCACTCGTGGTCCTAGAGTTTTAAATAAAGCAACCAAAAAAATCTATAAGTTATAAACAATAGCAATAACAAACAGGATAGAAAAAAGACTCAAAGACACAAGACAAGGCAAGGCGAAGTAATCTTTGCCATTATTTCCGCAATACGCTTCCTTTTTTTCTTCCTCCAGAGTTGATTCCGTTTAGACTTATGCACTTTACTTGTAAACCTTGCCACTGCCGATTTCTCTTCCCATGGACTTGCTTCATCTACAACATATCTACATGGCTCCAACAGCGCTCTTAGTTTTAACATCAAAGCATTCGTCGTTTCAATAGCTAATGCTTCTTAGGTTTCTACACTAACCCCTCTGTCCTCTAAACACTTTAGAAAACTCAAAAGGTAAGTTCCGTTTGAGCCATGAGTTAAACCCTCTAAAGACCCTCCACGGTCTCTTATCATTTTCAACATCTCTTGTTCCTTTTGCCTACAGAAAATACATCAAATCAAACCATCAAATATCACGTGCCAAACACAATGTAGTGAATTGAAACAAGAACAACATACATTCCCTTTACAAGATTTAGCGTATCCTGCAATTCCCAGAACCGACCGCAAACATTTCTGGTCTCCCAAAAGGAACTTGAATTTGGTGGTTTGGGTGGTAATACTGGAAACTGCATAGGTTCAAGAAGTGGTGCAGATTGAAAAGGAACTAAATTCATTGATAGCACAATGTACAATATAATTCAGGAAGAAGACCGAACAAAAAACGAACCGGGGCGCAGAGGGGACTGGCCGCTGGCAGCTACAACGATGCGCATCAATGGCGCGGCTGCCTCAGATATATTTCACGAGAACAGCAGTGAATTTTTTTTATAAAAATAAAATTTATAAAAACTGGACGGCAGAAGGAGGAGGAACTGTGAAGAGGAAATGAAAACATATATTACAAAATAGCACGTTACCCCCGGATTTGGCAGGAGTCATGAAGGGCGTGAATCGGCGGAGATGAGCCGTGAAGAGCGTGAATCAACGACGAGGAGACGTGAAGGGCGTGAATCGGCAGCAAGGAGACGTGAAACGGCGTGAAACGGCAGCGAGGAGACGTGAAACGGCGGTGAGGAAGAAGTTATACAGTGAGGCGTATGCGTGAACAGGGGCGGCGTATGCGTGAGAGGAAGTTGTACAGTTGAAATAATGTGCATTTAGGAAATAAACTGAATAATATATATAACCTTTTACATCGGTGGAAACAACGGACCGATGTAAGGGTTTGGGCCTTTGCAGTTTTTACATCGGTGGAAAATATGCCCCAATGTAAGTTTTTTAATATATTTTATATATTAACCTTTTACATCGTTTTTTAGTTACCCCGATGTAATATCTTGTTTGTTTTTTATTTACAATTCTGCCACCTTGTTTCTTATTTACAAAAATGCCACCGTATTTTTTTCTGAAAACCTTTTACATCGGTGGATGACATTGCCCGATGTAATAGATAGCGAAAAATATTTTTTTTCTTTTTATATATATCATTGCAAATAAATACCTGATGTAAAATGTTTTTAATGGTATTTTTTACATCATATATTTTGATACCTGATGTAAAAACCTTTTCTCAAATGTCTTTTTTTTAGTAGTGTTACAAGGCTACCATCCATTGGAGTAACAAAAATATCGACAACAAACTACCTTCCATAATGACAAGGATACCATCCATTGGAGTAACAAAAATCTCGACAACAGACTACATTCCATAATTAAAAACGACCATCCTTTGGAATAACAAAAATCATGAAAACAAACTACCTTACATAATCACAAGGGTAGAATCCATTGGAGTAACAAATACATCGACAATAGACTACCTTCCATAATGACAAGGCTACATCCATTAAAGTAACAAAAATCTCGACAACAAACTAGCTTCCATAAAGACAAGGCTACCACCCATTGGAGTAACTAAAATCTCGACAACAGACTACCTTCCATAATGACAAAGTTACCATCCATTGGAATAAGAAAAATCGCGAAAACAGACTACGTTCCATAATGACAAGGCTACCACCCAAAGGAATAATAAAAATCTAGACAACAAACTACCTTCCCTAATTACAAGGCTACCATCCATTGTAGTAACTAAAATCTCGATAAGAGACTAGCTTCCATAATGACAAGGTTACCATCCATTGGAGTAACAAAAATATCGACAACTGACTAGCTTCTATAATGACAATGCTACCATCCATTGGAGTAACAAAAATATCAACAACGGACTAACTTCCATAATGACAAGGCTACCATCCATTGTAATAACAAAAATCTCGACAACATACTACCTTCCATAATGACAAGGCTACCATCCATTGGAGTAACAAAAATTTCGACAATATATTACCTTCCATAATGACAAGGCTACCATCCATTGGAGTAACAAAAATATCGACTACAAAGTACCTTCCATATTGACAAAGCTACTATCCATTGGAGTAACAAAAATCTCGACAATAGACTACCTTCCATAATGACAAGGTTACCATCCATTAGAATAACAAAAACCTGGACATAAGACTACCTTCCAAAATGACATGGCTACCATCCAATGGAATAACAAAATTCTCGACAACAGACTACCTTCCATAATGACAAGGCTACCACACATTGAAGTAACATATATCTCAATGACAAACTACCTTCCATAATGACAAGGCTACCATCCATCAGAGTAAAAAAAATATCGACAACAAACTACCTTCCATAATGGCAAGGCTACCACCCATTGGAGTAACAGAAATAATAACGACAGACTACCTTCCATAATCACAAGGCTACAATCCATTAGAGTAATACAAATCTCGACAACAGACTACCTTCCATAATGACAAGGCTACCATCCATTGGAGTAACACAAATCTCGACAATAGACAACCTTCCATAATGACAAGGCTACTATCCATTGGAGTAACAAAAATATCGACAACAGAGTAGCTTCCATAATGACCTGGCTACCATCCATTGGAGTAACAAAAATCTCGACAACAGAGTACCTTCCATAATGACAAGGCTATAATCTATTGGAGTAACAAAATATTGACAAAAGACTACGCCCCATAATAACAAGGCTACCATCGATTAGAGTAACAGAAATCTCGACAACATACTACCTTCCATAATGACAAGGCTACAATCCATTGGAGTAACAAAAATATCGATAACAGACTACCTTCTAAAATGACAAGGTTACCATACATTGGAATAACAAAAATCCAAACATCAGACTACCTTCCATAATTACAAGGCTACCATCCAATGGAATAACAAAAATCTCGAAAACTACGTTCCATAATGACAAGGCTACCATCCATTGGATTAACAAAAATATGAACAACAGACTAGCTTCCATAATGACAAGGCTACCACAAATTGGAGTAACAGATATCTCAACGAAAAAACTACCTTTAATAATGACAAGGCTACCATCCACTGGAGTAACAAAAATATCGACAACAGACTACCTTACATAATGAAAAGGATACCATCCATTGGAGTAACAAAAATCTCGACAACAAACAACCTTCCATAATGACTCGGCTACCACCCATTAAAGTAAAAAAGATTTCTATAATATACTACCTTAGATAATGATAAGGCTACCAACAATTGGAGTAACAAAAATAACGACAACAAACTACCTTATAGATTGAAAAGGCTACCATCCATTGGAGTTACAAAAATCTGAACAAAAGACTACCTTCCATAATGATAAGGCTACCATCCATTGGAGTAAAAGAAATAATAACGACAAACTACCTTCCATAATGACAAGGCTACAATCCATTGGAGTAACAAAAATCTCGACAACAGACTACCTTCCATAATGACAAGGCTACCATTCATTGGAGTAACAAAAATCTCGACAACAGACTACCTTCCATAATGACAAGGCTACCATCCATTGGAGTAACAAAATTATCGACAATTGAGTACCTTCCATAATGATAAGGCTACCATCCATTGGAGTAACAAAAATATTGACAACAGAGTACTTTCCAAAATGACAAGGCTACAATCCATTGGAGTAACAAAAATATTGACAACAGACTACCTTCTAAAATGACAAGGTTACCATACATTGGAATAACCAAAATCAAGAAATCAGACTACCTTCCATAATGACAAGGCTACCATCCAATGGAAAAACAAAAATCTCGAAAACTACGTTCCATAACGACAAGGCTACCATCCATTGGATTAACAAAAATATGAACAACAGACTAGCTTCCATAATGACAAGGCTACCATCCATTAGAGTAACAAAAATCTCGACAACGGACAACCTTCCATAATGAAAACGCTAAAATCCATTGGAGTAACAAAAATATCGATAACAGACTACCTCGAAAAATGACAAGGTTAACATACATTGGAATAACAAAAATCCAGACATCAATCTACCTTCCATAATGACAAGGCTACCATCCAATGGAATAACAAAAATCTTGAAAACTACGTTCCATAATGACAAGGCAACCATCCATTGGATTAACAAAAATATGAACAACAGACTAGCTTCCATAATGACAAGGCTACCACAAATTAGAGTAACAGATATCTCAATGACAAACTACCTTCAATAATGACAAGGATACCATCCATTGGAGTTACAAAAATATCGACAACAAACTACCTTCCATAATGAAAAGGATACCTTCCATTGGAGTAACAAAAATATCGACAACAGAGTACCTTCAATAATGACAAGGCTACCACCCATTGGAGTAAAAAAGATATATATAATATACTACCTTCGATAATGATAAGGCTACCATCCATTGGAGTAACAAAAATATCGACAACATAGTACCTTCCATAATGACAAGGCTACCATCCAATGGAATAACAAAAATCTTGAAAAATACGTTCCATAATGACAAGGCAACCATCCATTGGATTAACAAAAATATGAACAACAAACTAGCTTCCATAATGACAAGGCTACCACAAATTAGAGTAACAGATATCTCAATGACAAACTACCTTCAATAATGACAAGGATACCATCCATTGGAGTTACAAAAATATCGACAACAAACTACCTTCCATAATGAAAAGGATACCTTCCATTGGAGTAACAAAAATATCGACAACAGAGTACCTTCAATAATGACAAGGCTACCACCCATTGGAGTAAAAAAGATATATATAATATACTACCTTCGATAATGATAAGGCTACCATCCATTGGAGTAACAAAAATATCGACAACATAGTACCTTCCATAATGACAAGGCTACAATCCATTGGAGTAACAAAATTATCGACAATTGAGTACCTTCCATAATGATAAGGCTACCATCCATTGGAGTAACAAAAATATTGACAACAGAGTACTTTCCAAAATGACAAGGCTACAATCCATTGGAGTAACAAAAATATTGACAACAGACTACCTTCTAAAATGACAAGGTTACCATACATTGGAATAACCAAAATCAAGAAATCAGACTACCTTCCATAATGACAAGGCTACCATCCAATGGAAAAACAAAAATCTCGAAAACTACGTTCCATAACGACAAGGCTACCATCCATTGGATTAACAAAAATATGAACAACAGACTAGCTTCCATAATGACAAGGCTACCATCCATTAGAGTAACAAAAATCTCGACAACGGACAACCTTCCATAATGAAAACGCTAAAATCCATTGGAGTAACAAAAATATCGATAACAGACTACCTCGAAAAATGACAAGGTTAACAACATTGGAATAACAAAAATCCAGACATCAATCTACCTTCCATAATGACAAGGCTACCATCCAATGGAATAACAAAAATCTTGAAAACTACGTTCCATAATGACAAGGCAACCATCCATTGGATTAACAAAAATATGAACAACAGACTAGCTTCCATAATGACAAGGCTACCACAAATTAGAGTAACAGATATCTCAATGACAAACTACCTTCAATAATGACAAGGATACCATCCATTGGAGTTACAAAAATATCGACAACAAACTACCTTCCATAATGAAAAGGATACCTTCCATTGGAGTAACAAAAATATCGACAACAGAGTACCTTCAATAATGACAAGGCTACCACCCATTGGAGTAAAAAAGATATATATAATATACTACCTTCGATAATGATAAGGCTACCATCCATTGGAGTAACAAAAATATCGACAACATAG